GCTATGGAGAACTTATGTGGCAAGTTTGAAAATAACTCTTAACGAGTTAATAACTCAGAGCGAGTTTTAGAAGAACTTGCAGAGCAAGTTTTGAACTCTGATCGAGTTGATAACTCTGAACGAGTTTGAAACTCTATGAAAGAGTTGATTTAACCAAAATCGGTTTATAAGCCAAGGATGAAAGCTCTCTATTGTTGAACGATGCTGAAGGACGAACGTCGATCTTCCCCTCGCTGCCAAGCCGAAGATCTCCTCTTCGCTGCCGAGTCTAAGATCTAAAAACCCAGCCTCAACTCAATTGAGTTTCCCACTATTTATAGGGGATTTAAGGGTGTAACCGTCCCCTTAAATCTCTCATTAATGAGGGTTTAATAGGGTATAACTGCCCCCCATAAATCTCTCCATGATAGGGTAGTGATCCCCTTAAATCGTGGGGAGAAAACGGTTCTGGAACCGTTCAAATCGTGCATGAACGAGTCAAACACTGAAAACAGCGTTCTGGGCCCGAACTCTGCGTTTTAGACCTGAAACGCAGAGTTGGGCCTGTTTTAGGCTGAAAACGCACAGGTCGCACTGCGCAGAGATGAACTCTGCGTTTTGGACCTGTGACGCAGAGTTAGGTTCTGCATGAACTATGCGTTTTGGACCTGGGACGCAGAGTTGGGTTCTGCATGAACTGTGCGTTTTTTGGACCTGAGACGCAGAGTTGGGCTTCGCATGAACTGTACGTTTTTTGGACCTGGGACGCAGAGTTGGGCTCCGCATGAACTGTGCGTTTTTGGACCTGGGACGCAGAGTTGGGCTCCTCATGAACTGTGCATTTTTGGACCTGAGACGCAAAGTTGGGCTCCGCATGAACTGTGCGTTTTTGGACCAAAGACGCAGAGTTGGCCTCCGCATGAACTGTGTGTTTTTGTCGTTGAACGCAAAGTTGGACTCTGCGTTTTAAGTCCACGAACTCTGCGTTTTGACTCTGTAATGCAGAGACGAACCTTAGGCGGGCTTGGCGAGCTTCAGGATAAGTCCAATGTTCTGACGAAGTCTAGTCTTGCAGACGGACTTCAGAACATAACTTGCTACGAAGAACAGGTTATAACTTTCAAACCGTAAGTCGGAATTGGACGAATTATATATAAAAATCGGCTATCTCGACGAGACAGAGCCGACCAAACCAACCCCATTGGGTTCGGTTTACTCCAACAGTTTTGCCAAATTCCTTACGGTTTGAGAGATATCTGCGTTTTGACTTGAAGAGACCGTCGATTTGTAGTCTCTTTTGCTAGAGCGTTGCAAAGATCGTCATCTTGTAATCTTCGTCTTGGCTCCTTAAAAATGTGAGAGTCGTCAGATTGTAACTCTCGATGTTGATTGTGAAGGCTGTTGATTAGAGCTTTCATCAATTGTTACGAAGGTCGTCAGATTGTAACCTTCATCGATCCACGTGAAAGTCTTCAAATTGTAACCTTCTGAAAGTTGTCAGATTGTAACTTCCATCATCGGTGTTTGATGTGGATTGGCTATCTGTTGTGATTTTTAGACAGCCTATAATTCCGAAAAATACCCCTCCCTTTTCTTCTTCTTCTTCTTCTTCTTCTTCTTCTCTGTGGTTTTCTCCTCCTCCTCTCAATCTCCTCCCCCTCCTCCTCCTCTCAATCTGGTTGCAACTCCTCCCCTCCTCCTCCTCTCAATCTCCTCTCAATTTCCACCTCCCCTCCTCCTCTCAATCTCTTCCCCCTCCCCCTCCTCCTCCTCTCAATCTCCTCCCCTCCCCCTCCCTCTCCTAGTGGTGGTCATCCACCACCGACCTCTACTTCGACCAGACCCTCTCCAATGTCACCCGGCCCTTCGCCATCCTCCTCTCAATCGTCGGGCAACGATCGCCCATCGTCTCCTACTCTACTCTCATCGTTGAACATCTCAAGCCTCTCGAGGAGAAGACCCTTCACACTATGATACGGCCGCTTTCGAGCTCTACCAGTGCGTCGAGGCGTTCTACAACGGAGTCTGGTGGAAGGGAGTGATGACCAAAGTGTCGGGGAGAGATGGAGACTTACTGTATTCAGTTTATTTTTCGGCTAGCAGGGAGGAGTTTCAGTTCAAGGCATCGGAGATTTGGAGGCAAATGAAGTGGGCGAAGGGGGAGTGTATTAACGTTGAAGATGATGATCAAGTGAGTGATTAATTATTTTAGTTTTTGAATTTTATTTTCCTTTGAGTGGTTTTATAAGTGCAGGTTCATGACGTAACCCACTTTCCTATGATTATATATGTGTGTTTGATTCTTGTGGCTCTTTTGTGCCCTGCACACCAGTTGTTTGTCATTTTGCTTCACTGAAGTAATAAGAATAGTATCACACATAAATATGTAAAATTTTGTTTGGGAGTCTTGACACTGTGGTATGACCAATGTAAGTCTACGTTCCCAGGACTACAACCCTCTAAGGAATTAACCACCATCTCTTCGTTATTCATTATATATGAGAAGAAAAAAACCATTTGTTTTGCTGTGCCCATTTGTTACTTTGAGAATTTGCTACTAGTTTTCTCTTTTGGGTGTGTTCTTAACTGTAAGATTGTGTTTCGCAATGGGTTAGAATTTTTATTTTACCAAGTTTTTTATTAGCTGACGTTACCTTTGTGAATCCAGTGCTGCAACATTTATAACATCTAAAAGCTCCAGCCGATAATTGTGCTATTTATCTAACCATACGGTTTGGTTGTCTCTTATTTGTGGCAAAATAAGTGAAATTTTGATTAATGTTAAATCTCATGAGAACATAGAATGTCTGTCAAATCTCATGATCAGCAAGAACATGATCAACAAGAACATGACATGTATCCTATGTTAACTTTAACTGGTACATGTTAATTGTCATCATTATATGTTAACTCTCCTTGTAACATGTTAACTTTCCAGCTAAACATGTTAACGTTCATCATAATATGTTAACTTTCACTGTTATATGTTAATTTTTGTAATAATATGTTAACTTTCTTCATAACATGCTAACTTTTTCTCAGAATGATTACTTTTTCTCATCTTATGAATGTGTTGTGTTTTGAGAGAAGCTTGTTTTTGTAATGGATAGACATACACCAATGAACTGGAGATCAAGGTCTCACGACTTGAAGAAGAGAACGATATTACATTCTGCGCCGTCACCAGAACCAAAGCATCAACTGCGAAGATCAAGCTCAGCTTCTTTCTAAAGATTGCCTGTATACTAAAATTTGTAGATTTGCATGGAGATTGGAGTGATTTTTGTAAGATATTTGTATAAGAAAACATATCTGAACTTGTGAGAACTTATGATCTGTTAGTTATTTTTTGTGGTTGTACTCGAAACTGAGTAGAAGAATGACCCATAATTGTCGGCTTGAACGATTTACATATGTTTAAGATATCATGAGAAGTTGTAGCAAGTTTTACTTTAGTGGGTTTTTTCTTATTCTTGAAGTTTCAATGCGTCGATTCTAATACACGTCTGTTGGTACAATGAGGCATATGTTTGTCTCCATTTTTGTATGTTGTTTTAACTTTGGATTAACATGTTACGAGGAGAGTTAACATATAATAATGAAAGTTAACATGTAACAACTAAAGTTAACATTCAAGAAAGTGGGTCTGCTGGGTCTAATCTCTGCTTTTCCTAAATTCACAGCTGAACATTTTTCTTTCCCTTTTCATTCACTGACATTCTGTATTCAAATGAAAGTTAACATGTTCATCTTAAAGTCAACATGTTAGAATAAAAGTTAATATATATAGCAGAAAGTTAACATGTAATAGTGAAGGTTAACATATTATGATGAAAGTTAACATGTTCAGCTGAAAATTAACATGTTACGAAGAAAATTAATATATTATGGTGAAAGTTAACATGTTACGAACAAAGTTAATATATTATGATGAAAGTTAAACATATGTAAATCGTTCAAGCCCACAAGTATGAGTCATTCTCCTACTCAGTTTCAAGTACAACCACATAAAATAGCAAACATATCATAAGTTCTCACAAGTCCAGACATGTTTTCTTATACAAATATCTTACAAAAACCACTCCAATCTCCATGCAAATCTACGCAATTTAGTATGCATGCATTCTTTAGAAAGAAGCTGAGCTTGATCTTCGCAGGTGATACTTTTGTTCTGGTGGCGGCGTAGAATGTAATATCGTGTCCAACTCTTGGAAAAAAAACAAATGAAAAAACTGAGTTACTTGGGCATTTCATCAAACACCTACAACCCTCATCTCCTCCTCGTAATGTTTCTAACAAAAGGAAGAACCTACAAGCTTTGTGAAGAGCATCAAAAAAGAAAAGATGCAGGGAAATAAGCAAGCAATCAAGGAGAAACAACTAAATTCATTTGAACATACTTGTAGACTTGCGTATTCATTTGAACATGCCCTTATCTTGCTCCGACTAATTCAACACATGATTTAATCTGTCTTTTCAAATACATATCTAACCAATTATTCAACAAATTAGCACAATCCATAGTCACACTGGATAGGCTCTGAGAATCTACTATTCTCTCCATATGCATTCTCAAATCCTCGGAATCGCACAATTCACCATTATCAAACCTACTAGTGATAGAGTCTGAGGTCAAAAGCCTTCGAGCTCCGCCAACACTTGGAGGGCAAAAAGGGATACCCCCGCCTCTGCTTCTTCCTCCACGACCGCGTCAACGACGGGGAGGACTCCCTCCACCCTGGCTCCGTCGCCCCGTCCACCCCAGCTAAACAACTCCTCCTCGAACAGAGAAGATGAATTATGAGCCTACTCTCATTTGTAAAACATGTGGCTAATGCAAGTGACACATGGCAACTCATGAAATTGGCGTTAGTCAAAAGCCAACCTTTTTAAATCATACTCTGAACTAGCCCCATGTCTAAAATGCCATGTGGAATTCTCACCATTGGTATGAGACTGAAAAGACAGCCTAACTCTACATTGAGTGTCATATATCAACCCAGCTTAAACTTCACACCAACATGGCGCTTGCAGCAATGGTAGACCAACTTTTGTTATTTTCTTCAACCTCGAATGCCTCAAACAGTCTCCAATTTGGACCCTACAACCATGGTAGACATTAAATTTGTTTGATAAAATGTATTGCAAATACTTGAACACCTGCCATAGCTAGGGCAAATCTGAAGATATTCATCTATTTGGTATATGACTATACCCCTTCTAAAGTAATCGAACCAAACATCAAGCTATTGAACAATATCATTTCCAACAAACCGCATCACAATTCCGAGTCCACCCCAACTAAACAACCTCCTCCTCCCCAGCACGCCAAGATCTTCACTGCCGCTGCCGGCCTCTGCTTCTTCCTCCACGGGGGGGAAAAATAACCTGCGTCGGCTGGGGCAGGACTCCCTCCACCCTGGGTCGAAGCCCCCTCCCCCCCTCTGCCCACCTGCCAACACGCCAAGAGCTTCGCCGCCGCTCCCGTCTGCGAGGATAGGAACGCTTCTCTGAGGTGATCTGCTTTTAGCGTGAGAAGAGAGAAGAGAGAAGGGAGAGAGGGCAGACAAGTTTTTGGAGGAAATGGTTAAGAGTATTTTAAGGATTTGACATATACTCTCTTCATGTGCTATCTTGGAAATATAAAAGAAGGCTGAAACATAACTACTTCTTAGGGCTGAGCATGGTTCGGTTCAAATCGAAAAAACCGACCGAACCGAACCGAACCGACCCGAAAAAAGCGGTTTTAAGAGTAAGGCGGTTCGGGTCGGGTTGACAACTTTTCAAACCGACCCGACCCGAACCGACCGAATATATTCCCAAAACTTTCAAACCCGTTCGCGTTTACCCGACCCGTCCCAAACCCTCAACCCTAACTTCATTTCCTCTCATTCCCAAACCCCCCCCGCCGCTACTCATTCCCAATTTCCCATTTCGCTCGGCCTCAATCCCTCTCTCTCGCTCTCTCTCTTCTTCCAAGACCCCGACCCTTACTCTCAAGGTACATAGTATTAATTTTTCTTCAATTTCCTCTGTTGTTGTCTTTGAATTAAACATGAAGTAGGTGGAATGAGCGCTTCTTGTTGGAGTATGTTAGTGCCATTTGAGTTGGATTTTCCCCATTTAATCACTCAATTCAGCACTTCTGTGTATGTTGTCCCTTGGGTTAGTTGTTGATTCAAGTGTGCACGACGCTTAAGTATCTTAGCCATGGCTCAAATGATTTGCATTTGGGCGCATATGAAAACAAATATATACAAATTATCTCTTGGGACAAGCAATATTTGTGCATTTCATTGTTATACTTGATGAAAGTTAGAACCGAACAAACCGAACCGAACCGCACCGAACCGATTTGCAACGGTTTGGTTCGGTTTTGAATTATAGGTGGTTCGGTTCGGTTGTTCAAATTTTAGTAAAAACCGACCCGAACCGAACCGTGCTCACCCCTACTACTTCTTAAGTAAGGGCTTTGTCACCCAAAAAATAATACGAGCGGCCTGACCACATTCTCTTTTTTTTTTCCTTTTTTTACCCAAACAAACAGCCCAAAACTATCATTTTAGGCGTGAAAAGGTCCGACCGGAACCCAGACCCCATACTCTCCGCTGACCTCCGATCATCTCACGGCTCTCGTAATGGCTGTCGCGTCCACAACCAGACGCGGAACTCCTCGACGTCCTCACCAAAACCGTGAAAAGACCGCGTCTTAAGCCTAGGTACCACACCCACACACTCTCTCTTCTCTCTCACTCCTTCATAAAAAAACCTATATTTCTCACAATCGATCACCAATTTCATCTCTTTTCTTTTGGCTTCGTCAGGGATTGGTCTCATAGGGACAGGAGATACATACTGAGCGGGGTTCACGTTGGATCTACTCGGAGAGCACGCAGGAGCTTCTGCTTCAGAGGAGGGCCGATTGCAAGGACTCGTGGCCGGGTCAATGGGATATTTCTAGCGCCGGCCATATCTCCGCCGGCGATAGCTCGCTTGTATCCGCGAGGTTCGTCAAAAATTTACCGGTTGTTTGCATTTGAACACCCTGAATTTTGGTACCCTGAACTTAATTTTGTTCTAGGATATCATATCAATATAAAAGAGTAAATGAGAAACAAATTTCCTTTAAAGTATTAAATTGCCTGAATAGGACTTCGGAGTATTAAAGTGTGAAATAAGCCATGCTTTTCTATATTTGACGCTAACGGATTATATGTATAGGACTTAGGTTCTTGATCTCTACATGAGAGGAAGTGTTTATGGCTAAAATTAGGCAGGTGTGCGATTTTTATTTTGTTTTCTAGGTTAGTATAACCTTGCATATGCTAAATTTTGTTGAGCTAGAAAGTTTTAAGCGGTGAAAGGTTTGTTTAACCTTTTGCATACTTTGTCTTTGCATTGTTGGTGTAATCTTGTTAAAAGTTGTTATATATGGGGTGATTTGAGTGATACAAATGAACTCAATGAAATATAACCTCAAACAGCCATTAACTATCAACTAAGGTTAGAAGTACTAAGTTGATGCTGAAATATTTTGTTATATTATAGGGTGACAATGTACATATTTTGGAGTTCTTCTCAGAATTAGACCATGTGAATATCATGCCACTGTTTTTGAATATTTAAACAGAATGCCCCCCTCGATTCTCTTTTACTTCTTTCTTCTATTTAAGAGAGAATGTATTCATGTCATCTTCTCCATCTGAGTTCTTCACCTAATTGGAACACACAAAAAATTAAATCTGGTAAGAAACTCTATGGGGAAGTTAACATGTGCAGGTATCTTTGTCAGGAGAGAAACTCTGTGGAGAAGGCTACATACGAGGTATCTAGCTACCTGCAACCAGTTATGTTCTATATGCTTCTTCAAAACAAATTTTGTATAGTCATCATCTTATGTTGTACCAGTAATATGTCACGAAAGAAATGGTATCTTCATTTCTGAACTTAAGTTGCATTAACAGCAACTTCTATGTTATATGATGCTCGAATTTATTTCCTTTCTCTTATACTTTTACTTAATAATTCAATGCTTTCTCAGGCGGGAGCTCCATGAAGAGCTTGGCATCAACCTTCCAAAAGATGCATTTGAGTTAATTTTTATTTTCCTTCAAGAATGGTGAGCAGGCTCTTTTTGCTACAGTCACTTCCAAGTTTAATTTTGTCTGAAATGCTGAATACATTACACCAAAGTATTTATCATATTGATCTGTAAACTTATTTTAATCTTGCTCGGAAGTCATTTCAAGATTCATGTTATTCGGTCTTTCCCAATAAGATGTACATTATTTAAGATTGACCATTGCTGTTGAGACAATTTCAGCTTTTGAAACTTCAAACTAATCACCATCAAAATAGTAGTATTAACTGTACATATAGACTTGCATTTCTTCACAAAGTGAATAATCCAATAACGTTGCCTGTCTTTCTAACTTTAAACTGAGTTTTACTTCTAATCTTGGTTGAACTATGAGCAGTCTATAATACTCAATAATCAAAAATGATTTCACAATAAGTCCCAACGAATATGTCATAAAAATTTTGTTAGCATGCAAATATTCCTTCTTAATGTTGTCTCTAATCAAATGATCACAGTAACTTATCTTTTTTTATATTTTCTTCATCCTCTTAGTACAAATGTGTGTAGAACAGCAAATTTTCTTCCCTCGGTATTAGTTATGTTCTGCTAATTCTTAGAGCATTTCTAGTTCCCTATTGTTGGTTGTAGAGTCAGACCATTATTCTTAAGATAGTTTCCCTTTTGTGAGAATCTGAATAATTCGTATATAAATGGACTCATCCCATTTTGTCTTGCAGTGTTATAAATGATGGAAAATATATAAACAATGAATTTAATGATGTATATCTAGTCACGACTTTGGCGCCAATTCCTTTTGAGGCATTCACTCTTCAGGTGAGAGATGAAATTTGTCTAATATGAAATTCAGTTTCTTAAATGTAGTATATTCATGTTTCTTTTCAGTCAATAAGGTATGCAACAGTCTCATTAATTCATATAAAGAATAAAGTTGTGTTTGAAGACAATCATTTCGCAAGTAAAACACGATCATGGATTCCATATGTCTAATTGCTAGTGTTACATAACTATGTCTTTAGAAAGAATCGTTGCACTATGATTGCCCTGGTGAATAATGGAGGAAGAAAGAAAAGAATTGAAACAGAAATTAGAGGGCACAAGGTGATTCAGTGGAGATTGAGCTACATCCTCTAAGATGTTGACTTTGTGCAAGTGGACTGGTGGTAAGTTAGGAAGTGGCCTGGGGTGGGTATGTTAGCATCCCCAAACAGATAAGAACACCTTTCCTCAGAAAAAGTAAGAAAACGAAAAAAGGGTATCCTTTTTGGCCACTAGAAAGATTATTCATACATCTAGGAGAAAAACTCGCTGAACTCAGCTTACATGCTCCACCCTTGTTTGGAGTATACCAAGGAGCTTTGAAAGAAGTAGGGAGAAGAACATTGACAGTGCTTTCCATGTGGAGGAATTTACCATTGAGAAATTCAGATTGGCAATACTAAAGGAAATAGGCGTGATAAAGCTTGTTTTCTATGCATATGTTTTCAGATGTCTATCTATATAATATACTTTCATATATAGTCTCCATCAAATGCATTAGCTATAAACCTCTAATACTATAATAATTGTGGTAACTGAAAAGAAAAGCAAAATAACAGGCTTCTTATTTGTAAAATTGTTCCTTATTGGAATTGGCTTGTCTGTGAGTCCTATAGACAACTTAGCTAACTAGTTTTGTGTTCTAATTTAGCGTGTAAATACTAATTTGATATGATATCATGTCATTTTACAGGAAACTGAAGTCTCTTCTGTTAAGTATGTAAATTGGGCAGATTATAGAAGTCTATTAGCCAGCGGCAACCAAGAATATGTTCCTTATGATGTTTGTGGGCAGTATGGTAAACTTTTCAACATTATCGAACAACGGTGAGCTAATCAATACAATAAGGGAGATGATTACAACTCTCTTCACATTTTTCCATGGAAATCAATGTTCCTACTTTCTGGTGTCTGGTATCCGTGTCTCTTCTGTTCCATTTTATCTGGATGTACTCTTTATTTAAATCTATTTGGTTGTTACTGATCATCGTAGTTCAAGCCTTTCCCATCTAAGTGTTAATATATTCAGCTGAGAAGTCATGTTGTCATGATTCATGTCTTTGTATACTTAGAAATAGATATTATAGTCAAATTTGGCTATCATAGGTTCGGATACGTGCTGCTCTGAGGAAATAACAAACTGATATAATTTTTATTATTGATACTTATGGAGGTGATGGGCTGATATTTGATGTTTAAAGGTTTATAGTAAGTTCAAGCAAACTATGTGTTGGCCTTTAGTAAGACAACTTAGGTCTTTTTGGTTTTAGATTGAAGAACATGGGGTATTTATAACTCCAAGATAATCCCAAACAATTTTGAGCTTGACAAGCCTACTATAATCCATATTAGAAAGTGAAAAACACTTGGAAGTAAGATCAGTGGACTGTATTAAGTAGACTAATTCAGTTAAAATAGAAAGCTTATAGGGATAGGATTCAGTGGGAGAAGTAGGGAGATTGGATATTTTAACGAAGGTGATAATTAAAAAATCAAAGGGAACAGATTTGGTTTAGCTACATTAAATCTTTTTTGGTCCATTCTTCTTCCAGATTAGCTACCAACATGATTTTTATGTCCTTGATACTTTTTTGTCCTCAGCCGCTGCTAGTCCAGATGCTCTTGCTGCAACTATGAAACTTCCAGTCCTATGTGGCATCCTCAGTAGGGATTTGAGTAACAAGCTTGCCTAATATATAACTCCGTAATGAACTTGGTGTAGTTTTGTCCAAGAATGAATGCATTATAACTAATTGTAGTATGAATCCAGTGCTTGTTTTTGGCTTATCATAATCAGCTGGACTTCAGTTACTCTGATTCTCTATTAATTGGCAACCTCTACTTAATCCGCAGTTTACCTTCTTGAGCCATTTGGTTATGACAATTTGTCATTGTTGCAGGTACAAAGAAAATATGGAGTCTCGCAGTCTTGCGTTGCAAAAGCAGCTTGGTCGATATGTTCCTGTTAATCTGGACACAGAGGTAATCCTTAACATCATTCATTCTGATTTTATGAGGTAACTTCTTCCGCTTAGAACTGCTCTGAGCTAGTTACTTAAGAAGTCACCTTAGAAACTCTTTAACCTACCATAGAGGCACTTGAACTGTTGAACATAAATTACATTCTTCCATTCATGTCTTGATTTTTTAAATTACTTTTGTAGTTGACTGCACTCTCAAAAGCGGACAGGGAAGCATTATCCTTCATAATTAAGGCATCAGCAGTTGTTGATGATATATTCTTTGATCAGGTAACGATCTATGAATTACCTCTTTAAAATCTAACATTATTCCAGAACCTTTTCTCCACGTTTAGTTAAATTGTATGACATGTTTCTCTTATTATAGTTTTCGATTTGGTTCTTTTTATCTTGCATAATTGTAGAATCATTAGTATCAGATCCATCACATGCACAGTTGTGATGAAACATATAAATTTTGTAATGGCTCTGTTTCTCATTGTATTTTCTCCCCCAGGTCTGGTATAGCAATCTTATGCTGAGAGATTGGTTGAAGAAGCATTCTGATGCCTCCAGCTTGGATAGACTAAAATGGATGTATTACGCTATCAATAAGAGCCCATGGTAAAATTTCTTTACGACTTTAAGTTACATATCTAGCCGAACAACACATTTTCCCAGTAAACTGTACATGGATTTGTTCCTTATAATTTGTATCATCCAATATTTTCATTCTTTTAGCTAAACTATGTTTTCAAGCTTCTTATTCTTTTTATTTTTCACTACGTATAAATAACAACATTATGCTTGGTGATTTCTTACTCATCAGTCTTTAGTTTTATAGCCTTCTTCTACATTTTTATTTCCTTCTCAGTTCAAAAGCATTCTGCATTGATGTGATTGGAGTATGTTCTGCATTGATGTTTCCTGTAATAATGTGCTGACGTTCTCCAAACAATTTAATTAAGTTCTTTTCAGCTTCTTACCATTAATACTTCTTCTTTTCTTAATGGACAATCTCGACCAAATAAGATTTACTGTTTAAAAATAATAATAGTTAGAAAGAACTCCAGAAAAAGTTTCAGTTGAACAAAAGTTGATCTTGGACATTTGGCCATTGAGTAGACCAGAGCGCCAAATTAACCAATTGATTCAAGCTTGTGACTCTTGTTTATGCATGTGCAGTTCTTTTTCTCTGGTTTGGTAAAGAGTTTTTTCGTTGTACTAAATGTTGCATTTTTATTGTCTTGTCATTTTTTCTTTATGGATTTATTTTTGTACTATAGTACTGTTCTACTTTCTTGTTTTGGCTCTGATTAGTTATTACTTATTAGCTATTACCATGTTGTATGTTACAACTTACATTGTTTTAAATATCCGTGACATGGCCCGATATTTCGTCTGATATATCCTTTTATAGGGCTTGCCGCAACCGATGAAGTCTCTAAATATCATTTACATCTTTTGGGCTATTTTGTGCGATATATCTCTGATTTGGCTGATATATCACCCGATATGTTGGCCGTTATGTTAGCCGATATATCCTTTTTATATGGTTCGTTGCAAAACAACATACCATGTTTGGCAATTTTGGGCAAGGTATCGTGATTTTCCCATTATATCAAATGACATTTTCGCCTAAAAATTCAAACGAAATGTTGCAACACTGATTTGTACTTTTGCTTGTTTACAAGATTGATTAGTGATCCTAAACATATATTATTATATTTTGTATGATTAGATTTCATTACGTATGTTGAGATCACATTTTAGTGCATTGTACTATATATGCAAATATCCTTTATGGCATTCCGATATTTAGCACATATCCCTGATATTTTCTGATACTCGCAATCAGATATGAATTTTGGCCATCCGATATTTCCCCGATATCCAATATTTAAAACCTTGATAGCTTGTAATGGCTTTTCTTTTTCCCCCTCATGATTGGAGCATCATTTTTTTCTAGTACATCTCGGACACTCAAATATAAGAGCCATCCTGTAATTTTTCTATGTACTATGGTCGTTAAAACCACTCCCTGAGTTGACTTGCCCTCTGGGGATGTTTAGAAAATGTGCTCATATGTTCCTGATATAGTAAGATTGTCTTAGAAGGTGATATACTTTCACATTACAACAGATGCAATGTAGGTATTCCAAATATTTTCAGAATGACATTAAAGAATTTCAAAGTTAAGCGGCACCAATGTAACATAGTACATGGCTTGCTATACAGAATCAGTTTTAAAATCAATCAAAAGATAAATAGTAAATATAATGATACATTGGACCCATTTCTTCTTCCAGTTCATAGGGTCATTTCAGAAGTGTTTGATTATGGGTTCCTACCCAATGATGCAGAATGAATGATAAGTCATGTAGCTGTTTTTCTGTTCTTTAGTATTTATCAGCATTAAAGATTGGCTTCACATCACAGGTCATGTCTCGATGAAGAGAAGGCATTCTTGACAACAGCAGATTCTGCTGTCAGGCTGCTCGCTGAATCCACCAGGCGAGTTCCTGGTTGGAAAGGAATTGAATATAGAGCTGCATTTCCTATGGTGAAGCCACCTGGTGCGAACTTCTATCCTCCTGATATGGACAAGACGGTAACTAACATCTACTGATATTAGCCATCACGATGCAAACGTTACATAAACAATTTTAAAAACAACATTGTCATCAGACTGGTGCCAGGTATAAATTGATCCTGAAGCAATAAACAAAACTTAATTTATGATATTATAAGAACCTATTGAACCTTTAATCGAAGAGAAAAATTGCATTACATGCATGAGAAGTGTTTATGTGGCTTGGGGAACAAATGTCTTGGAGTAAATTTTAGAATCATCGCAGCTAACAACAACAAATGTCTTGGAGTAAATTTTAGAATCATCGTAGCTAACAAAAATTTTTGCCTTACCATCATTTTTTTTCCTTTTATTTTTGTTCTTTTACTACTAAGCTTTCATTATAGCAAATGTTGTGTTTGTGGGTGTACTTTTCATACATCATGATCAAATTAACGCGTACAATCTGTCTAAAATATTTGCAATTGTTAGAAGAGAATATTAGTTTAGCATTAGTTTAGTCCCATATTGCCTGTGAGACTAACTTGTAACTAATCCATCTTTATAAGTAATAAAGTATAGAGTGAGGGGAGAACTCTCCAAGAAACTCTTTTCTCTCTAAATCTCAGCATGGTATCAGAGCCAGGTTCCTAACCCTAACACTAATACTAATCCAAATTCCTAAACCTAATCCTAACCCTAATTCCCGCCGCTAGTTCATCCAGATCCAAGTCTTCGCTTTGTCTTTAGATCCGATCTTCCTCGTCCTCGTCTTTCTCGTCCTCGTCCATGTCCTTGTCCTTGTCCTCGAATGAATTGAAGAAATCGACATCAAGCGGAGGCCTCTCGAGCTCGCTGAGGAAGTCGAGGGCGTCGTTGTCGTCGACCTCCATTCCCACCATCGACACGATCCCCTCGTCGACCTCCTGATTGTACAACGAAGATGACGACGATGGCTTCATCACTGCTGACCTCGTCTTCTTTTTTATTTTGATTTCCTTCGTCATCCGATCCAGATCTCCAAAAAAATTATTATTATTATTTTTATATTTATATACATATATTTATTTATTTAACCTTTGGGTTAAATAATAAACTTTCAGGTTCCATCTTAACTTTCGGGTTCTTGAACTTTAACCTTCGGGGTTCCATGTTAACCTTCGGGTTCTTGGACTTGTTCAGCCTACTGGTTAATTCAAGAATTATTATCTTGAACTTGGACATGCTTTGATTGTTTTTATTTTAGAGTACAACTTGTGGAGGGTATTGTCTTGAACTCTACTCGTCTGTTTCATGATGACCGAATCTGAGGAACTCAAGAATTCTAAGTTAACGGTCCAGACGAAAGTTTTGAAGATATTTTCTAGTAGAATCACTGACCGAAAACTTGATGGAATTAACTATTTCCAGTGGAAGCGTGTTATTAAAATCTACGTGGCAAACCGAGGCAAAACTGATCATTTGTTGACGGACCCTCTTACTCCGACACCGGAATCTTAGACATTGGACGATAGTGTCCTCTTGTATCAAATTCTTAATACTATGGAGCCTAAAATTCAGGATTTAGTTCTTCATTATATGACAATGAAGGAACTTTGGTATTTTTTGCAAGATCTCTATGGGGATAGCAACAATATTAATCGGGCATATGAAGTAATTCAAGAGCTGTTTCATAAGAAACAGGATGATAAACCCATAGATGATCATTATGGTGAGTTTAATCGTTTAGCTGAGGAATTCGTCAGATTTTTTCTATTACTGGGGATATAAAACAAATGCAGAACCAATAGAACAAACTTATGGTACTCACCTATTTGGGTACACTAGATTCTATTTACTCCTTTGCTCCGACATCGGAATCTTAGACATTGGACGATAGTGTCCTCATTAGAGAGTGAGTCATGTCAACTTGGCAAACACCATCATGTTTCTTATCCTAATCGAGTCAATAAGACGGTTGCTAAGCCATTTGATCTTGTTCATTTTGATGTCTGGGGGCCATGCCAATAACTTCTAAATTGAAATTCCGATACTTTATCAGTTTTGTAAATGATCACTCTCATGTTACTTGGATTTATCTTCTCAAGTCTTTTCTACATTTAAAGTCTTTTATTCTAAAATAATCAATCAATTCAAGACTAATAAAAAATTTTCGATCTGATAATGCAAAGGAATATTTGGATGTCAACTTCACTAGTTTCCTTTAACAACATGGAATCCTCCATCAGTCTTCTTGTGTTTACATTCCTCAGCAAAATAGAGCTGCTGAACAAAAGAATAGACATCTCATTGATATTGCTTGGACCTTGCTATTCCATCGTCGTGTTCCTAAATTTTTTTAGGGAAAGCTATCTTAACAGCATGTTACTTGATTAATTAAATGCCCTCTTTTTTTCTGCAAGATAAAATTCCCCAAAATAAAAGATCTTTAGCTCTCTGTGCTTTGTTCATAATCACAGTCCAAATAAATAAAAGTTGACTCTCGGTCTATTAAAGACATTTTTCTTGACTACTCCCGAAAGCATAAATGTTACAAGTGTTTTTGTCCGTCACTCAATCGTTTTGTGTTATCTGCTGATGTAACATTTTTTGAAGATAAACCTGATCATTCTAGTTCTCCATCTCTATTATCACCGGATGAGTATGACTATTTGATCCTGCAAGAGTCGTTTAACGGTGATGGTTCATCCGCTGATAATACTATTTGTGCTAATGGTAAAGACTCGGTTCGTTTTAACGATCTAATTCAAGTTTATCATTGTCACTCTGCTCCTGCTCCTATGCTAACGTCGTCCTCAACACCACATCCTCCGTCCGAATAACTTGAATCAGTAAGTGCAAATTTACCCTATTCTGCGAAAGACCTTCCTATTGTACTTCGAAAAAGGACACAAACTTGTACTCAACATTCTATTTCTAACTTTGTCTCCTATGATTGCCTCTCCTCTACCTTTCGATCTTTTGTTACTTCTCTCGACTCATATTTGATTCCCAAGAATGTGTCAGAAGTCCTGTCTATTCCAGGTTGGAACCAAGCGATGCAGGACGATATAAGGGCATTGCGGCAGAATGAGACTTGGAATTTGGTCCCATTTCCATCAGGAAAGCGGCCCGTCGGTTGTAAGTGGGTGTACACTGTCAAGTTGAATCCTGATGGAATTTTGGCACGCCTGAAAGTCCGACTGGTTGCTAAAGGCTATTCACAGGTGTATAGTTTGGATTACATAGATACATTTCTCCAGTGGCAAAAATGACATCTGTTCGGATTTTTGTTTCGTTAGCAGCGACAAATTACTGGCTACTTCATCAGTTGGACATCAAGAATGCATTCCTTAATGGTATTTTAGATGATGAGTTTTACATGGAGCAACCACTAGGTTTTGTTGCTCAGGGGGAGAATGCGAAGGTGTGTAGGCTGAAAAAATCACTATGGTCTGAAGCAATCTCCGAGAGCCTGATTTGGACGTTTTGCATCGGTTATTCAGGAATTTGGGCTTTGTCGCGTACAGAAAGATCACTCCGTCTTCTGCCGATTTCAGAATGGGAAACGAATTTTGCTCGTTTATGTGGATGACATTGTAATTATAGGGGATGGTATTGACAGCCTGAAGAAGCATTTACAGACACATTTCCAAATCAAATATCTTGGTTCCCTAAAATACTTCTTAAGCATTAAATTTGTAAAGTTAAGGAAGGGTATTCTTCTGTCACAAAGAAAGTATGTCCTGGATATGCTCTCAGAAGTCGGGATGTTAAGATGCAGAAGCAGTAATTCTCCAATGGATGCGAACTCAAAACTACTGCCAGATCAGAGGAAGCTTCTTGAGGATGTTGGGCAGCATAGGAGATTGGTGGGAAAACTGAATTATCTGATGGTGACCAGACCTGACATCACATTTGTAGTCAGTGTTGTGAGTCAGTTCTTGTCCGCACCAAGAACTACTCACTTGGATGCAGTAATGAGAACTTTGAGGTACTCGAAGAAGGTTCCAGGACGAGGAATTCTCTACTCAGATCAAGGACACCAGAATTGTAGGCTTTTCTTATGCAGATTGGGCTGATGTCCTTTTGATAAGAAATTGACTATTGGATATTGTATCTTTCTCGAAAGAAATCTGGTGTCATGAAAAAGTAAGAAGCAAAGTGTTGTGTCTCGATCCAGTACATAATCAAAATACAGAGCTATGAAAAATGTGACACTAGAGATGGTTTGGATCAGAGACCTATTGACAGAGATTGGTCTCCCTTGAATGTCCCATGAGTCTATATGACGATAATAAAACAACAATTCACATTGCTGAGAATCTCATGTTTCATGAGAGAACCAAACATATTGAAGTCGACTGTCATGTAGTCCACAAGAAGCTCGAGGACAAAATCATCACGACAAAACATGTATCGATAGTACATCAGTTGGCAAATATTCTTACAAAATCACTTCGTCGAACACGGGTTGACTTTATTTGTGACAAGCTGGGCATGCATGATATATATGCTACAGTTTGAAGGGGAGTGTTAGAAGAGAGTATTAATTTAGCATTGGTTTAGTTTCACATTGCCTGTGAGACTAACTCGTAGCTTATCCATCTCTATAAATAATAAAGTATAGAGTGAGGGAAGAACTCTCCAAGAAACTCTTTTCTCTCCAAATCTCAACATCAATAAAATTGGGCCTCATTCAAGACGATTCTAACTGAAATATTTTTTCTTGAACAATTTAAAGAATAATGCCCCTGATTAGCATTTTACCGTTTACCTTTCTCAATGTTTAGAAATAAATCTGTAGCTTACAGCTGCAACCTTGTTTTTCTTATTAACTGGCAATTCTTACATAGTCCGCTTTCTTAAAGCATATTCACAATCTTCTAACTATACAATGATTTTCAAAGTTTTTTATTTATTTAGATATAGTTTTCTAATAGTTAGCTGGGTGCCACATGCTAGAAAACTTCAATATAATATCACCTTTTATGGGTCCGAATATCAATCTGTGAAAATGTTGGGACATATATAAAAACCAATATGAAAGTTATGTTACTGGACTAGACCAATTGTCCAAGTAGTATCGGCATGGATCCATGCAGGCTTCCCTTAATTCGAAGTTCCCAACTAATAGCTTGTGAAGTGATATTCTTAGGTCATATACTCCACATATATTTGAAAGTTCTTCGAGTCCAAGCTACAGATTCCTATTTTAATGTTATAAAGACTCTTACTGCTGTAATGTAATTATACTATTGAAAAGTTATCATATAAAATATGGTTGTAAATTGACAATACTGACCATTATGTCTCAAATCCCACTTTGGTCTGCATTTTTGTGCCTCAGAGTTCAATGAGGTTCCTTGGGGTATTGTTATCATTTTTGTGTTTGTTTAGACCCTCTCTTTCTTAATATAGGGGGTTTTGGATGGTTGCACGTTGGTCGGATATGCTTAAAGTCTTAAACTGGAAAACTAATAGGACCATCTACCTGCTCGTTGACCCTCTATGGTTTATGGTAAGGTCTGAAAGTACCCTAGGGGGTGAATAGGGTAATTGCTAATCTAATCCGATATTAATGTCAAATTAAAACTTAGTAACAAGTATATCCTAACAATATGATATACACAAAGATATATACACAAAGATATAAGGTAGGATATATGATAAAACAAAGGGCGATATAAACTATGAGACAAAGGCGATATATGATAAACAAAGAACACAAGAAAATACGCTAATGCCAAACACAAATACAAAGCAAATGATCACGAAGTTCGGTTGACCCACGACCTACGTCTCCGCTCCTCACCCTCGAGGAGAATATTCACTAATCACCAAAATAACTACACATTCGGTTTTCCAAGTTCACTAAAAATTTTTACAACTCACATGATGCAATCACACAATATACTCCTCTAAATGTTGACCTAGCCCGTGTCACCTTCCTCAAGTGCTCGAAACTACAACCTCTTACCAGGAATTACAACCGACGCCACTCTTTTTGGAATCGATCCCGTCTCTCCACTTTTCTAAGTGTCATTGTGTATTACAATGTGTTCTCTCAACAATTTAGCTCAAAGTAAATTTGTTTGTTCTCTAATACAAGGATGAGAACTTAAGTGTAAGCTCACTCAACTAATCACACTCACAATCCAAATGTACTATGTGTGAAAAATATTTAAGCTCAATATGGGTGTGTGTGAAACAATAAGTATAATAAATATATATATATATATAAGAATCAAAATGACAATAAGCTAGATTAAGGAGTCAGAAAAACTTCTCTAAGAACAAGAGTGATGGAGGTTTGAAGATTGATGCTCAAAATCGAAATGATCTCCTCCTCTTGTAAACACTTTTGCATAAACCAAAACACTCTTGATTTTTCTTAAAAAACCTTTAAACAAACTTGCAAAACTTTTTTTTAAACATCCATAGTTGTTCTAAAGTGTTGAGGGCTAAGGGGTATTTATAGACACTCAAAACAATAGTCCAAAGCCAAAGAAAAGCACAAAAAATGAGGTAAAACCTACAAAAAATGGAATTTGGAAAAACTAGCAGTTGTTGCAACGGCTCTCTGGTCGGTCAACTGATTTTCATGTGTCGGTCGACCGATTTGGGGTCATCGGTCGATCGGTCGATTGGTTGAGAGGTGTCGGTCGACTGATTTCATGCACACGGTAGATATGTCAGATTCTAAATTTTTTGCGTAGCTGGCTTTCTAAAATCAATTAAAAATATCAAATCAACTCCAAAAATCGTAAAATTTTGAGGAAAGTTTCTACACATGTAGATAAACATGTTAGAGAAAGAATTTCCGAAATATCACTTCCCTTTTGTGAGAAACCACAGTTTTACAACAGATGTTCTAGATTCTGAAAACTGCTGAAACACTTGATTTTGTAAAATCAATTTAACATAGTAAATCAACTCTAAAAATGATAAAGTTTTAGTACATGTTTATAAACATGTAATAGAACATGTTAGAAAAAGAATTTCTCAATTTGCATTTCCTATTTTGTGAATACTCATTTGTTTTGTAAACTGTTCAAAAATACGAAATCGTCAAAACTTGATTTTGATGAAATTTCTTCAAACAAGTTTCGAAACACTTTCAATAGATTTGTAGATTTGAGAAAAGATATAAAATGTTATCGTTAAGTCTATAATCCAAAACGGTGATAAATAAAAAACAAGTGTGTATGAATTTTGAGCTATAAGTATAAACACACAAAGTATAACAACTAGGTGATAAATAAAAAACAAGTGTGTATGAATTTTGAGCTATAAGTATAAACACACAAAGTATAACAACTAAACTAGACACTATATACCCAATAAGTATAAACACACAAAGTATAACAACTAAACTAGACACTATATACCCAAGCTAAAAAATCTTCATTTAAGCTCGATCTTGGTAGTGAGGATGAAGCACGATATTGTTTTTGACTGGAAATGCGAATGACTTCATTCCTATATTTGCCGACCTCCTTTAGATATCATCATGAAGGCGCAATCCAACCAACCTGTGACTAGGATCTTTGTGTAGGATTCCTAACAGGCAAATATAAACACTCGACAATCGTTGTTAGGATTTGTTTGTTAATCATTAAAACTTGATTAGATAGTAGACTCATAAACATGAGACCTAACAAGGTCATCTCTTGTGCATGGATTCCTTATCAGTGGCTGTAATTCACCATGAACTCGTAGTATTAGGTCGATAGCCGGCTGTAAACTCTTGGTCAATTTTTTGTTGAGCTTATTTATGTTGAGTTTTGTTCATGGTTGATTACATTTGATGGGAGTGGGCAGGATGATAGTGGTGGTGGTACTATAGTTGGAGTCTTTTACAGAACTTGTAGGCTCTTACAGATTTACTCTATAAGCATTCTTGAAATATATCTATTTCTATGTAGGAGTTTGAACTGTGGAAGGGTAGTCTAGGCGATAATGAAAAAGAAGCTGCAACAGGGTTTTTCAATGTCATCAAAAGGCATGGTGAGGTTGAACTGGATAGTGTATTATCCCCTTTAGAATCTGGTACTAGCAGTCAAGCTAGGCAAGACCAGCATGCGAATTCAGATGATCTATTTGTGGTTCCATTTTCTCAAGAATATGGAGATCGTCTTTTAAAAGCTGCTGAGTTTCTGAGAGAAGCATCACAATTAACTGACTCACCCAGGTACGATGCATTACAGGACATGTTTATGTCATTCCAGACTTAAAATCCCCTCTTGGTAGTTATTGATCTTAAATTGATACGAAAAATATTTCCTTTTTCTTTTGAAGCCTGAAGAAGTTGTTAAAAACCAAAGCAGATGCCTTCCTGTCAAATAACTACTATGATTCCGACGTAGCTTGGATGGAGTTGGTGAGCATGCTTCCACCTCAATATCTTCTTAGTAAAGTTTCATAATTATATAGTTAAATTTACCTGATAAAATTTCTTGATCTATGTATATCTGTTCCCATTTATCATATTCATATATCTTGTCTCCTACCTTAAGCATGCTATCTCTGTAATGAACTCTTGCCTAAGGATGACTGCTAGAGAATATAGCTTATGAGGGGAATTAAATTAGTCCCTACCCCCTTCTTTGTTGAAGTGGCACATTATATGAGCATTTCTTGAAAATACTGAGGGGAAAGAGCGCCTCATGCTCTTTCTCAATTGTCCATGATTTATAGGTCAAATTTGGATCTTGTTTCAAATCTCCACGGACAATAAACATGAAAAATTATCTGTGCAGAGAGCTCCTTATAAATAGTCCTAGGTTCGAACTAGACTTCAGTTCTTTTAGCAATATTCTGGGAACCTTGTAGTCATAATCTGTTAGCTTTAGTGCTGATTTATCAAATCCTACATTTTCTTAGAAAATTTTAAGAACATGAACTCATGGAAGATGTAAATGAAAAAGAGGCGTCAAAATTTTAGCTAAATTTAGCTACTAGAAATTTGAGTCTTAAAATCAGTGTTTTGGAATATAATGTAGGAAATTATTTTTAATAATGGATGCTAGAGTTTTTGATTGCTTATTGTGCCTAAGCTGCAAAGCTTAATCATTTAATTTTCCTTCCTTTAACTTGATATTAAATACTGTAGTACTACTCTACATGACTTTTCAGTTGTATTATTGTAGGATTCGAAACTTGATGTTACTATTGGCCCATATGAAACATATGAAGATGGACTCTTTGGATACAAGGTACTTGTAGCTTTAGTGTGGTCTATTTTCATTTCTTGCTGTTTATTTCATATATTAGAGAAGTATGATTAAGAGCCATTATCCTTTAGGTTGGACCTGAATGTTCTTTCTTTCCAGTAGTTGCTTTGTTTATCTTCATTTGTCATGTACATAAATGGAAAATTTTGCGGTTTGTTAGTTCCTCATCACTGTTCTGAATGGCTATAGATATCTTACTTTTAAAAAATCACTTCATCTCCTCTCCACTTTTGATATCAAGAACTTTTGCAGTATGTAGCACAAGCATCAAACTTTAAGTAGTTATTCAGTATTTCGCATAAACGAAAAGAATTTCTTTAGGATCACATAAATCTCCAGTTCCATAATTGACTATCTGCTCAGGACAACATGTTACCCAATTGTTAACCCTTCATCTTTTTTCTTCTTCTGTGTTTACCAGGTTCAGCTTTTAAAAATCTCAATGCATCTTCTCTTCAATGTTTATATGGAAAGGCAGTAATTCAGCGCAAGTATCAGACTTATAATTAGTAATTTAGTAACTTGGCAAAAGTGAAAAGGAACTTAATTTTTTTTAGGACCAACTATCAAGTTATGCCACAATTCGCTATCTCCGGTGGATAAGTTATTCCCGAGGTGCATGTACACTCTAATTCTTCCTCTATTAGTAATGTTCTCATACAAAGAAGTACTTTTTTCTTAGTTGATTGAGAAGAGAGTAAAACAAGTTAGTCAGTCTAGAAAACTCTTGGGAAAAGAACTGAAACCTTGAGTCAGACAAGTAAGGTGAAATATGAAAAGAAGTTGAGAGAAGTTCTCTCTTACTAGGTGTCTTCGACATTTTTTTGCTTTCCACTGAGCTAGTCATTTACAAGCACAATGCTGTTATTTACCAAGTACTCCTTAAGCATTAGCAGTCGAACAATCTCCACTCAAGAAAACTAGGTTTTGGTTGTAGTTCTTCTACGGGAAAGTCATACAATAAATGCCACTTGTTTCGGTAATGCCCACATTTATTAAAGAATTATAATAAAAAGAAATGAAAATGAATAAGCAATAGAGCACTTTTTTTTAAAGCAATAGTGCACTTGTTGAAGTAAATCTATTCTAATATTCTTGTAATGTGCATTTGAAATGGATGTTGCTTCTCCTAATGAAGGCTACTTTTGAGGCATTTGTGGGAATACGAGATGATACTGCAACTTCTCAAGTTAAACTCTTCGGGGACCATTTAGAGGTATATTTTAAACCTAATATTGTTGTATGGATTATCGTCATAGACTCATAGTAATTTTAACAATTGATATTCTAAACCAGGATTTGGAACAAAATCTTCCATTGGACAATGTCTACAAGTCAAAAGATGTTGTTGCTGCTCCAATCCGTGTAATTCAGCTCATTTACAATGCAGGGGTGAGTTTTTACAGCCAATTCCTGTTGATTATTTTAGACTAACCAGTAGCTATTTTCCTGAGTTTTTGAAACATTAATTTAGTTATGGTTGTTAAATGTATTTGCCATTTATAGATATGCATCCTATCAAGGGGTTGAGATCTGCAGTTGCTTTGATTTATCTGTGTTGCACTCTCCATCTGTTATCTTAGACTAACCAATTCCTGTTGATTATTTTAGACTAACCAGTAGCTATTTGCCTGAGTTTTTGAAACATTAATTTAGTTATGGTTGTTAAATGTATTTGCCATTTATAGCTATGCATCCTATCAAGGGGTTGAGATCTGCAGTTGCTTTGATGTATGTGTGCTGCACTCTCCATCTGTTACTTTATAACCAAGTTCGATGTTCATGTTATGGTTCTTTTCTTAAAATTTAACTCTTAATCTTTGAAATGACTTCGTTAAGTATAAACCTTTTAGATTTTGTTTCGGTGTTCCTTCATACTTCATTGACAACAAATTGCAACAACTTTGGAATTCACAACTTATGTTGAAATTTAGCTGAAAACATCCAGTAGAAGATGTCATTACTAACTTGCAGACCAGTCAATTGGAGGATTCTCCATCTTCCTTCATGTTATTCACATCATTATCATATCATCCATGTCTAGTCACATTTATCATATCATTCTCATTATCTAAGCCTTTTCCCACCTTACTTGTCCAAAGAGTGTCACTAAAATTTGAGAAATCTTCATAGAAAATTAATATGAAGTTTTATAAGATTTGTTGTAGACTCTTGGTCAGTTTTTACTAAGTGGCAATGAAAATATGAACAAGTGTGCAATGAAAATATGAACAACTGTGAATTCTGTTTGGTGAGGTAGCAGATAAATAGCCTCAATGTTTTGATGCATTTCTGCTGTACCATTATCTCATAGTGTTGTGAGTTGTCTTTATTGCCATTGGGGAAGATCACCAATTTATGATAGAACCGTGTCTCTATATAAAATATTAATGAAGCTCACATGTTTCCATCCCTCGAGTTTTACACAATTTCCTTTTATCAGCCAACTTCTCAAAAGAACTGTTACACCCTTGGTTTTAGGAATTTCTTTTGGAGCCCTGAGTTTTTTTTTTCTATATAATACTTGCTGTTTCAACTCAGAAACACACTACTTTTACAACCCTGAAGAAGTAGCGAGTTTTAGATTGAAATAGCAAGTTACAGCAAAGAGCAAAGGTCTGGAAGATATTCTGAAAGGAGCAAGGGTGTAGCATTTCCTTCAAATAGTTAGTGGTTTTTAGAAAACCATTTATGATAGTGGGTGCCGCAATCTTCCATACCTGACTATGTTCGATGAAGATATGTTGTGCTGTGTCTATTTTAAGTATTTAGCGTATCAATTATTTTTCATAAAAGCATGAATGTGGAAACCCATATCACATTTCCTAGATAAATCCTGCATACACCTGACCTAGATATTACTCGTCATTGCTGTATACGACTTAAATTTGTGTATTCACATACTAGCGTGTGCATATGAGATTTCTTATCTGTCCGATTTGCTGTTTCTTTCTTCTTTGTCAAAATACTGGGATCATAATTTGATTTTATTATCGTGATCGTTGTCAGCTTTTGAGTCTTGTCCTATATTACGACTGCTTTACCACTTGCTACCTGTTAGTATGTGTTTTTCTTGATCACCAACTGCATATTCCTTTGAAACCAATAAGAAACTAAGAATGTGATATATTGCATGGAAAGACCACCATACAAGCTTGCCTGTTGCGGGACTTTTTTAATGGAAAGTATTGATACTGTTTCTTTGGAGAGTAGAATTAAATAAGTAGATTATAGAAACAACTTATAAAAGATCTTCCCTACTCCACTCTGAATTCATGCATAAAAAGTTCAGGGCTAAATTTTTGTTCGTCCAGCCCCATTTAAAAAAGTCAAGGGTTAAAAACCCCTTGACCAAAGTTTTCTACCTTCTACATCTCTCCTTTTAAGGTAGCATGTATCCCCAAATTGCCCTCATCTTCATCCTCATGTTCATCTTTGATTTTTTTTCTTCCTCCCTCCTCTCTTCTCCTCCTCCCTGAAGGAAATCGTGCTATGTCTACATGCATAATACACAGCGAAAGACATGTATGTACAAAAAATACTAAGCATGTAGAGAGCATGTAATATTCATATGGATCGTCTAATTAAATCTAACATGATCCTTATTATTAAGTGAGCATACAAGGTTTGAAAGTCATACTTTTGTAGTGTGATTCGATAGTGAATCGAACAACCCTTAGGTTGCTCTCTTTGATGCAGAAAGCTCCTCGTAGTGGATCTCCAACTCTTCAAGTAAACCCGAAAGCTATTGGATGCTGCTTGAGACGCGAGGCAAGATATCCACCCCGGGGTTCTTAAAATCCTACTACTTCCTCTTACTCAAAGATTGCTAAAGTTTAGTAAGAGGTATAGCTCTCTTTCTTTCTCTTATGAAAATTTAATTTTCATTAGCCTTTCATGAAGAGAGAGCTCATATTTATAGAGTGAAATGTGTTCATGACATGAATGACTCATCCTATGAGGCATGCAATGAATCATCAAATATCAATGATTAAGCTAATGAGTCATGCAATGAATCATCTTATGAATCATTACATTTTAAAACCATGTGCTAATAAACCATGTGCTCAAACCATACCACTAAATGACTCATCTCATGACTCATTATTACATGGCATGTGTATTTCATAAATAAAAATATCAAATCAATATTACTAATACAGTATTTCATATAGTACGGTATATAGTATTATTCTAATTTTTAACTAATTAGTCACTATATGATCAAATAAATCAAGAATTAACCAAAAGTCAACTGTTGACCAAAAAGTCAACTGTTGATCAAAAAGTTAACTTTATGGGAAAAATACTGGAATTCATTTCCTAAGCGCATAGCATTCCGATTTTACCGATATACATAAGCGTTTATGTGTATCCGAAAAAATCATATATGCGTATCAATCATACGCATCACTCCATAAATTGTGTTTCATAGGATTCAAGTACGCGCTTGGTGTGACTCTAGAGCCCAACTTAAAAAACTCGGTAGTGGATCATATCCATAAGTACAACAGAGGTGCTAGCTACACATGAAGACCACCCGGGTATAAGTTGTGATAAAGGTCTGCAAGATGCTTATCCAATTTTATCAGGACCACTCAATGATAATACCGTACAGTCCGGTCTCTTCATCAAATAATGTTAAACTATTGAGCCTAGGGTATGACAAACTGTCAAACCCTAATAGCTTGATTAGTGTTTATTGATATTAAACTCATAACCTATAAGATCAAATTGACACTCAGTTATCTTATTCATCTTGGCCAAGGATTTTCAGGTTATAGTTATATCAAACAATCTTATGACATCAATCTCTATACTGTGAGAGACGAATCCCTTCTTGGCATCTCAATATCTACTTATGTCTCGGGATGTACCCAACAAGAACCGTTATGCACAATTCAATAAGAACTGTGATTAGGTAAAAGTCTAAATACATCTTTACTGACATATAAGATATTGCACTCATGCCTCAGGTCAAGAGACTACTATGTACTATATCACATGAGAACTTCTATTTGACAGTTAAGTATATTACCAACTAGATATTCTCGGTGAGTCGTTCAGTCAACTCATTCACTAATGAGTCACCTGTATACTGTATCTTGATGTCTCACATCAATGATCTAAGAGATTGATCATCTCATTCAAAAGGAGAAATAAAGCATACACTAGTCTAAACCAAAGTGATGATGTCCTATCTCAATACTTCATCAACTAGGAACATTTTAGAATATACGTTACCGACTAATCAGATCTCTTCATTACGATCACTATCCGAAATGTCTGATAGTCTAGTATTTATTCTAAGGACATTATCTGTATTTTTAGAACATCAGATAAATCTGACCAAAATAGCATACTATCATTTTGAACAAGGATGTTATATACATATAGGTCCTGTTACAATATACAATAATTGCCTGTAGGGCACCTATATCTAACACTCCCTCCTTCCTTCTTCCCTTCATCCCCATCTTCCTCCTTTCTCGTCCTCCCTCCTTCCTCTCCTCCCCATCTTCCTCCTTTCTCCTTCTCCTCCCCCCTTTCTCCACCTCGTACCTTCACCCTCTTCCTCGCTCCACTTCCTCACAACCACATTTCATCTCTCCTTCATGAACCTATGAACCCTTCCTTCTCCACAGCCGTTTCTGCCACTGCCTTCCCCCTTCATTGATCCCGCCTCTGTCAAAGGCACGCCGAAGTTATCACTTAACATTTAGACTTAACATTTAAGCTTTAAAGTTAACTTACAAAAGTAACCACTGTATCCAGTCATGGGATAACAAAAGAGTGTTATCTACATTATATTATATTATGATCTATGCAAGAAAACAGGCTAGGGAAAAAAACAAAACAAAATGCTAGTGTTACTTAAAAAACATGCTACGTCGTTGTCAATTCAAAATATTACAAAATATATAAGAGAACCCTACATATTTATTTGATTATTGGAAAGTAAATTTTGTTTTTTCTTGTTCTCTTAGTTTTGAAACAGAAATATATACATAAAACTGCAATTGTTAACAAGTTCCGTACTAGCTTAAATTTGGGGTTTACGTTGAGAGCTTCATCTCATCTTACTTGGTAAACATACCGACTTCTCTTATGGTTCTATTGATCACAAAGAATTTGAGTTGTTTTTCTGTTACATTTCAGGATGTAAAAGGTCCCCAAACTGTTGCTTTTAACTTGCCAAATGATGAACTTATAGTAAATGAGCGTGGAACATCAATGGTCATGCTGAAGAATATCTCAGAGGCCAAGTATGTGTCGCTTTTGTTATTTCTGTTATTCTTTTCTCTTCTTTAGGCATTAAAATCCTAAAACCTTAATTCTTATTACTATATATTAAAATTTCATGAAATTATTAAGCTTCAACTCTGTACTTGTCAGGTTTAAGCATATTCTCCAACCAATAGCTGATGTATGCATCAACATGGAGCAAAAGGAGTACATCGACTTTGAATCTTTCTACACGCATACAGTTTGCCATGAGTGTTGCCATGGGATTGGTCCTCATTCAATAATACTTCCAAGTGGTCAAAAATCAACAGTTAGATTGGTGTGTATACAACTTTCATCTCTTTTAGCCTATGTTAATTGTGTGTAGCAAATTATCTGTCAGTTACAGTTCATTTTATTCAACTCTCATAATTCTAGTGTCTATTTTCAAAGTTTGTGATTAACATCTGGAGTTTCTGTGAAAGGTTGCTTGTGTACATTTGAGAATAGAAAGAGCACATATTTGAAAATCATGAAAAAGTCCCGTGTGTTTTATCCATACTAATTAGAATCCCATTTTGTATTTGCTTCTAGATTTATTTGGTCAGTTGTGGCTATTATTTCTTCTATTCTTTTGTTCATGTACAGAAAATGCGTGTGTGTTCCTTCTCATGAAAAAAAGGAAAAAAAAGCAAGAATTATTAAAATCTTACACGCAAATACACTAGCAAACACCAAATTCTTAAATACATATATGATACATGTCTTGTGTGACATGGCTTCACGGTACAAGTACCCATGTTACATTGTTAATTTCTACTGTAAGTAAATGCCATGGATCTCAGCTTGTACAACTGTTTTCCCTTTTCCTTTTGTGAGGATCGCCTAATGTAACATCTTGCAGGATTTAAAGCAGTGAAGCCCTACTTTTGAAAGCTATTTTGCGATAAGCTTTCACTGCCAGAATTTTGGATAAAAGAAAGAAAATACGCAGACAGTTCTTTTCTGTAAAATTTCTTTCAGTTCTGATTAAAAGAATTCCATATCATTTTATCTTGCCTGAGTATCATTTGGTTTCGCTATTCATGCAGTGTCATATATTCAAATATATATTCATTGATAGTGGTGAAACTTCTTATGCATAAGGCCTTCTAATTTTATCTGATATCTGGCGAATTTTCTTTTTGGTGTTAAGGAACTACAAGAGGTGCATTCAGCTTTAGAAGAAGCTAAAGCAGATATTGTTGGTCTTTGGGCTCTAAGGTTCCTAATCAATCAGGTGGATAGCTCCTTATGCATCTTAATTTTGCTTTGTATCCTTCACCTCTTTGGCCAGTGGCATAAAGAGCCACCTAGAAAAGGTTTTCATTTTTTTTCTTCTTTAATATCTTCCTTGTTGAGATATCTACTTGAGAGTTAACTCTAGAATCAACGAGTCATGTATTTGGTGATTTCTGATCATTAATGCATGGCTGTTGCATTATTGGAGCATAGATGGAGGGGAAAACATTAAACTTGCATATTTTAAGTAGGTGGTTAATTGGGAAAACTTGATAGTTTAACCTAAAGGACATCTATGTAGTGGCTTATGGTCCATGTTTTCCTGCTAACAATGAATTTATTATGTAGGATTATTAGTATGATTAGGGTTCTTTACTAAGATCGTAGAAGTTATAGTAAGTATTTTCATAATACAACTGACTTATCAGATCAAGAAAGCAGGTTAACTAGTATCAGTGATATCTATTAGAAGTGATTTATAAACTAATAGAAATATCGAATTTTCTTGTGTAAGGTGTCAAGCTATAATTTATTTTGCTGCAAGACATGTCGTGATATATTAATTAAAATTTTGGAAGAAGCTGACTTACTGCAATAAGATCTTAAAAGGCAAATAGAAATAGCTTTGGAATCAGATGATGCCTTTAAAAAAAATTCTTAATGGTCATGTAACGGAAGTATTAAAGTGTAAAATGCGTGAAACTTTGGGATTCATGGAGGCATATTTAATTTCAGGGTATGAAAGTTAAAAATGAGTAAAATTTTTAGGGTATTAAAGTATGTTGAGTCATTGACCTCAATTTATAGGAATTGTTTTTATTTGGTTTTGTATTACCACATTATACAGTTGGTAGATCTTGTGCTATAATATACACCGCTATATCCGAGTAATTCGAGTTCAGGTATCATCAAATAAATTTGTGTTACATCATCCTATGCTACTAGATGATAGATGATGTGTCAGCCTGTTTTTGTGATTTAAATGTATCATGATGCTTAGTCTCTCACAAAAGCCCCTGGTGAGCGCTACTTTAGACATGACTCGCAAAAGCCCCTGGTGGGTGCTACTTTAGACATGACTCGCAAAAACCACTGGTGAGCGCTACTTTAGACATAACATGAGTCGAGTCTCGTGTAAGCCTTTTATTTCCATGTATTTTTTTACTCTTAATAGGTTTTCACTTTCCTCATTCTATGCCTGCTTCCTTCTGTATGCATTCTATATATGGACTTTTTTAATTATCTTACTTTCTCCAATTTTGATCAGGGATTGCTCCCAAAGTACTTATTGAAGCCTATGTATGTCTCTTTTCTTGCTGGGTGTTTTCGCTCAGTACGGTTTGGACTAGAAGAAGCTCATGGGTACTGTATTATCCTGCACTTTTTCAGGACTTATTCTTGATAGAGTATGCACTGACAACTTGGTACATATTTAACTCCCATACAGAAAAGGGCAAGCATTGCAATTTAACTGGTTATATGATAAGGGAGCCTTTATTTTGCACTCTGATGAAACATTTTCTGTTGATTTTACCAAGGTAATATTGCTCCAAGATTTTCTATTTGTGGATTCATTCATTCTTTCTTTCTTTCTTCTTCTTTTGCATGAAAAGGGAAACTCATTAAGACATGTGTATGCTTTCTTGTTAAAAGGTTGATGGAGCTACTGAGAGCCTTAGCAGGGAGATTCTAACAATACAGGCAAAAGGTGATAAATCTGCTGCAAAGTCTCTTCTTCAGGAGTATGCAAAAATGTCACAACCATTGTGCACTGCCTTGGAGAAACTAGAAAGATTTCAGGTCTGAAACCCTTTCTCTTTGTCAATTTAAAGATGTATGTTTGAATTTAAATGGGTATTTGTACATGCAAAAAGTGCCAATTCCTTTCCCTTTTAATTACGTGATATAATGCTCAAATATAAAGCCCCCTCCATAAAAATAATCAATTAGAGTGCTTAAGACCTAAAAATCGGTTATGTTTTTTATTTTCTTTTTTGCTTATGGAAAAAGTGATCACAAAAGGAATTTTGTGAGTTATTAATTTCAGATCTATAATCTAAAACATCTAAATCCAAAATAAACAAGGTCCATAAGGGCTTTACAATGTTTAAATCATGTCCAAATATTTGAAATTAACAATTCAAGTGCCGCAAAAAGTCCAGGCATAGATCTTAATGGCTGCTGGCCATTTTCAGTGGTCTATTTATCTGCTAACTTGATGTGGGTAAGATAATTCAAATCTACTTTCCTTTTGTTCATGAGCAAAAAGTGATTTAAATCATCTTAAACAGAACACATTTCCATTTCTGAATAATTTGCCGTTTACTTTGAATAAGCACTATCTTCTGTCTCTAGGTTTATTTCTCAGATTGGCTTACTTCTGGAAAGATAGAGCAAAATAGTATCTAGTCAAATAGGATAGAGCCGAATTAGATTCGCATTGTCAAAGTTAATTGACATCATTAAAATTGTCTACAACCCAAAAATACAATATTAGCTTCTGTTTTGACCATGCATCAACTCGGCACAAAGAATGGTCAAAGTAGCGTTTTTGTTAAAACTGCGATTTTGGACTTACAAATTCTAGATCCAAAACTTACATCATGATCTACATACTAAACACCCTCAGATATCAATTTTTTAGAGGACTCAAATACCATAGATCGTTAACTTGGTGACTCTCTCTTTATATCATTCATTTGTGACCAATTCACGAATAGGCAAGAAAAAGTTTTGAAACACTCGAAATCAACTTGAATGGAGTGGATCTTCAACTAGGAACTGTACTTCTAGGTTGTCATGAAAATTTGATGGAAATAATATTTTTTAAAAACTCTTGCAGCATAATCAACCTTCACCTGCCGACAAGTGTTAGCAACTTAGCATTATAAACTAACTCTTGGTATGTTAGGATAATTCAAATATATGGTATAATTGAAAAAAAAGGTTAATTTCGGATAGACCCCTTTTTACTATCCCCTAATTGCAAATAAGACTTCCTGAGCTTCTTTTGTTGCCAATAGACCCCCCTGGATTCTCAACTTCGTTAAATTCATATTAGGATTGGGCTTTATAAACTGAAACATATGAGCTTCATATATTGATGTATTTATGATAAACTTGCATAATGATCACTATATATAACTTAAATGAAGAACTAACAGATTTGAAAATCCACGGGATCTATCTGCAACAATAGAAAGAGGAGGCGGAGGAGGAAAAGGGGGTTTATTTGTGATTAACCCTTTGAACAAAATATATTATTTCATTTTCTTGGGTGATTATTCTATTTTCTTGGTTCTTTGGTATTGTTTGATGTCATGTATGTTGAGAAGCATCACATGTATAATTTTGCTATTTTCTCCAGGTACCTGTTGATATTACTCCCATATTCACTGGTAAGTTATCTTTGGTGTAAGATGGACAAAAACATTCAGGGAAGGATACTTTGACCAAGGAAATAAGAACTGAGAGAAATGCAACATACATAATTTATTGTGTTGATGGTTTAAAATTCAAATAAATTGCTATTGTACTGCAAACGAACAGTGGAGCTCGCCACTACAAAGTGGGGAATTGGATTGTGGAGAGTTCCGGATTCAAGAGCAAGTTATGACCTCTGTTCCAAAATGAGACGAATAAAACATGGCAACTCAACTACAAAGAGGGGAACAACGTTCTTTCGCTTTGGCTTGCCTTGAATTGTACTTTATTATTATCCATTCATGTCGGGGATAAATAGTATTGATGTACTCATCATATTCTTGTTATGATCTTCTTGTCAAAGTAGATGATGACATTATCTTTTTGGCAATTTTCTGGCCAAAAAATATAAACAGTTAAATAATGGCTAAATTATTAGATTAGTATTTTATTTTGATCCCTTTATCAATAGGGTATTTTAAAATGCTTTGTGGCGACATTAAAGTGTTCTATTTCTCCTTTTTACCAATGAGACTTTTTTTTTCTTTGTCGCTGACTGCAATAATTCCAACAGGTGATGTAATTTTTTATTAGATAAATTTCTTCAACCCTCCTGAGCTCTCAAAGTTATTGAATCTATTTTCAACCCTGTAGTGTCCCGAAAAAGACGAAACAACTGATTCTCTAACTGTTTTAGTTGTGAGAAGAGATTTTACCGCCCGATAAGAATCTTTTTACAATCGTTTTTTTTTCAAGTACAGAATTTCAAGTACAGAAGAGGAGAAGATTGATTCGACTTATCTTTTGTTTAACGTTGGCTCGATGTGACGATGAAATATCTTGCTCGATATTCGTGTCGAGCTTACTTCTCGTTGACGATCAAAGCAAGATTGCTTTAACTCGAGGAGAAAATAGCCTCTTTCGAGTGCTTGAGCCGCTGCTTGTGATTGCTGGTGGTGCTTGAGTGCGTCTAAGTGCTCTCTAAACGCTCTCTAAGTGCGTTCCTCCGCGTGTGCCCCAGTTGGCCTTTTCCTAGTTGCTCATGGTTATTTATAGGCTTTTAGCACGTAACTGACGCGCTGATCGTGGGATCAGAAGCATAACTGACTCCTTAGATTTAGCCCATTGCGCCTTCATGGCCGTTAGCCTTCTGGCTTTGAGCTTCGCTTGATGAGACAAGCCTCGCTGGGTGGCGAGGTTCGTCTGATGAGATGAGCCTCACTGCGTGGTGAGGTTCATCTGGCGAGACGAGTCTTGTTGCGTGGTGAGTCTCATCCTTGAATGAATTTCATCTTCTGAAGGAGTTTCGTCTTCAATGACGAGCCTCGTTTCTAGGCGAGCTTCGTCTTCAATGACGAAGTTTGTCTTCTGAGGGGTGAGGTGTTGCTTGGCGAGGTTCGTCTTTGATGACCTTCGTCAGATGAACTTCGTTTTTTGAATGAGCTTCAGTGACAAATTTCATCTTTTGAGTGATCAGGTATTATGAGTCTCATATTGGCTAAGACGAGCGTCATTGACTGAGACGATGTTCGTCGTTGTTACGATTCTCGTCATGGTTGTAGTGAGCTTCGACCCTCCTTTGTCTCTTGGCATTTTTAGTGCCTACAAACCCACCATAATTTTGGTAAGAGAGAGGGGGTTTATGTGAAACTGACCTCTCCATCATCCACCCATCTCCTCCCTCCTTGCCCTAACCCATTGATGGCTCCCGCCATTCTTACCCTCTCCTTCCCCTTTCTATTTCCACCTTCAAAGGCGCCACCTCTCCCCATCAAAATCACCCTTGGTGTAGGGTTTTTCCCTCCGTGTATATAATATAATGAAGTGCGGTGCATTTGAAACTGGATGTAGTTGCTAATTTGACTTGGGAAAATTAAATAAGCAGGTTCTTTTTCAACTCGTAAAAAACCTTCCAACTTAAACCGGAAAAAAAAAAAAAAATTCTGCGTCTCATCCTGTGATCTAATAAAATAAAAATCTAGCCATGAAATTGTGCATATAGATGAAACTTTAAAGGGCAACAGTCTCCAAATCAACTAGGAAAGCCGTGACGTTTAAGTATAATCGTTTCCTCAGCGTAGACTCGGTGTAATCCAAACCGGAGGAGGCCAATTCAACCTGGGGATATCTTCAGGACAACAAGGTGCCATGGTCCCATCTTCCAAGTTGCATACTCCGATATCTCTCGTTTCTACGGGAAAATGTACGGCCTTCTTCCAGATATCATCAGTGGAGTAGATGCAATTCCTTTTCAGCTTGGGAAAAGCTCGAGTGGACAAAGACCTGCAGCTATTGCTTCCAATGAACAAGGTCTGATCCCCTAGGCTCTGCATCCTCATCCACCTCGCACTTCTGCCACTTTTGTCCAGCCTATAAACTTCGAAACCAGCTGTGCGGTACTCGAACTGATTCTCGTGATCTCGTACCCTCTTGACCAGCAACAATTGTTTCCCGGGAGAGGAAGGGGACATGGCCAGGTATGGATATGACCGGCCAAGGTCAGTTCTGCTCTTCGCTACTTTAATCCGAATAGGAGTAGGACGAGCGGCTGTGAGATCCCAAGTCTCAACAATATAATGCGTGTGACTCGGCATCAGAGCATAGAAGAGTCCGTCGTGCAGGATAAGATCTTTACAGACACCATGATCCACAGCGGTCCAGGCATCATCTCCAGCCCTGGCATATGCAAGCCGTTGACCGCGCATGAACAAGAGCATCACGGTCCATGAGTTCTCTTCGGACAAGGAAACTGCGGCCTTACACTTAGAAAAGAGATAGTGTCTTATTTCCTCTATATTGTACTCCAACGAGTATCTTCCATCAGAATGAAAAGGTATGAGGTAGCTATTAAGATTACCTTCATGATCACGCGATCCAGCGGTGATCGAAGGGAGGGGAAGTATGGAGGGGAGAGGGATTTGCGTACGGGTTATCGGATTCAGGAGGTAAAGGTCCGAACATTCGTCTGCAATGACCAGCCATCCACCAGAAGATCCGATCCACATGTAGTTGCGGATATCAGGAAGCGGATCCATGTTCATGCGATACAACTTGTTATCGGCTACGCTGTAGAAATTGCAACCTTTGTTTGGGTCGGCAAACATGAGCCACGGTGACTCTGGTGGTGGTTGTCGAACTGGTTTCTCTTGAGCAGCCTTTCTCCAGGATTTGCAGACGTAATGGCAACTGACTCGGTCGAAGACGGACAATCTGTCGATGATATTTGAGAAGAGTTCAGGTGGAAGCCATGCCCAGTTGGAGGTAGCCATGGAATCTGATTCCCTTAAGTATCAGCGACCAATAACATGTATGCGTGGTTTATAATAGGAGCGGATGAAGAGCCCCAATATGACCAGGACTACACGTTATCAATAACCTAACATGTGAAAATGCTCAATCCTAATCGAGATCCATGACCACTTGAAACATAAATCTTTAATTGACAAGATTATTCCCCCGCATATAGATATTAGTAGAAAAACGATTAATTTCAAAAAAGTCCCCTCAACTAATTACCAGAATCGAACGACCTCTGCCAGTTTTCTAATGAATCATTTACAGTTTCAACTTTTCTTCACATCCATTCTTCCATTCTTCTGTTAGTTTGGATGGGGAAAATATGTATATAATTTCATAGAACAATATACCCCTTTATTCTCTTTACAATACAATAACAAAGTCATAACCAAACAATTATTCCCTGCCAGCGTCCAGAGATTAACCTTCTATAAAAAATTTAGATTTTAAAAGAAGCAAGACTTATGAATCGAAACTACCATAAAAGGAGAGGGTATGAGCTTTGCCATCTTTCATAAACTTGTGAGCTGGTGACGAGAAGCAAGAAGGGAATAAGAATCAGGGTTTGTGATATTTTATCTTTAAACACGTCTTCATAAATTACTAAGGGCATGGTAGTCCTTAAAAATTAATAATTAACACCTTTAAGCAACAGTCCGCTCAAATATAGAAATAAAACATTAGAGGAAGTGCAATGATGAATTACAAACTTGGGGGATATTTTTTGAATCTAGGTTAGTTATAGGGCGGTTTGCTGAATATAAACACATGACAAATTCCAGAGTCGAAAAAGGGGCATGCAGTGCTATTTTAGTAATTCTGCTCAAATATGATTAATCACAAAAAAAATTTAGGTGCTCCATGAGCGCCAAGTGGCATACACCACACCAATAGGATGAAGATGTGTAGCAAAAGAAAATCATTTAATTTCATCACATTCTTATTTGCAAGTGGATTGTGCCGCATTGTCTACTCCTGTGGGGTGTTATATGCCACATTGGTGCTCATTGAGCCCTTAAGAATTACAAAGTACTGAATGAGCAGAAATGAAATGGTGATTTTTTTTTAACTTACGCTATTCATCCAAGTAGTTTTTTTTAGATTATTGAGATTATAAATTATCTATAACAATTGAGATTATAAAAAGACGCATTGTAACGCCCCGCCCCGGAATCCCGGAGTCGGTACGCTATTAGATCTGATGGACTGGCCTCACAAACCACCACATGTATTTTCAGCACGTTTTGTCCTCACTTACGTGCTCCCTGAAAAACTTCCCAGGGGGTCACCCATCCTAGAATTTCTCCAAGCCAAGCACGCTTAACTTTGGAGTTTCTAAGAGTTGGGTTCCCGAAAAGAAGATGCATCTTGGTGGTATGAGTATTCCAATCAAATCTATCAATACTAATCACATCACCCTCTCAAGGGTTGGGGTATTACATACTCCCCTACTTAAAGTCACAAAGTCCTCGTTGTGCCAAACCATGTCATCCAAGACCGTACCATCCGTGTGAGATTCTAGAGGTGGCTCCTACGGCCTCAAGAGGTGGCTCCTGTCCTTTCGACGTAGCACTTTGCGCCGCATAGCACTTAGCTCTCACAATTCCGGTTGGCTTGGCTCTGATACCATTTGTAACGCCCCGCCCCGGAATCCCGGAGTCGGTACGCTATTAGATCTGATGGACTGGCCTCACAAACCACCACATGTATTTTCAGCACGTTTTATCCTCACTTACGTGCTCCCTGAAAAACTTCCCAGGGGGTCACCCATCCTAGAATTTCTCCAAGCCAAGCACGCTTAACTTTGGAGTTTCTAAGAGTTGGGTTCCCGAAAAGAAGATGCATCTTGGTGGTATGAGTATTCCAATCAAATCTATCAATACTAATCACATCACCCTCTCAAGGGTTGGGGTATTACACGCATCAAATTCTTTTTCATGTGAAAATGGATGAACATAGCTCAGGGCATGTAAGGAAAAAATTAGAGCAAATACTCTTTACAGAAAAAGGAAAGAAGAATAAAAAGCAGCAAGTAAGCAGTTCAACTGAAATATAGGAACAGAGGAGTTTGAAACTTTTTTCCCCAACAATTTTTTTCTGCCAAAAAGTTATCCTGGCCGAAAAATATAAACAATTAAATAAGATGGCAAGTGATATAGGAATCAGAGAAACAAGTAAAAACATTCCAAGCATGCAAATGTTAATTCTCTTTCTCAGAGCATAAAATTGAACTTACCGGAAAAGATACACAACATTATGTAACTTTAGAAAACTTTACACAAAACGTTAAATATGTGGGTCTTCCACCATAGAGCCGAAGGCAATACAACCTTTAAAACACATAAGTTTTGGATATTCACATTGGGATTAATCCGATCAAATAATTAAGCTCAATGTAATATGAGAAAAACACTTGCCAACGGGTGCTGCTAAACCTTAATTGTTCCGCACTATTGCCGAGAAAAGTATTTGATTGATATCCTCTTCACTCTCCTTCTCATCCCCTAAACGAGTGCACATAGTATCTCTCCTTAGTATCAACTTTATTCAGACCAACAAGCAATGGCTCATTTTAATAGGTAAGGAACTATAATGACACTCTTACCTTTTTTTCCTCTAACGTGATCTGCCCATTCGTTAATAACCTGCATCATGCAAGTACAAAACGTAAACATGATAAATATTCTAGTAACAGAATGCAGTGAGATCATTATTTTCCTATTGCAAGTGTATCCTGATTCAAGAAAAAAAAGTTTTGAGAAAAAGCATACATATATGAGGCAAATGGATGTGAGATATCTAGTTTAACAAGTACACGTCTCCACTATTCAAGCATTCAAAAATCCAGATATCTTCTGCAAATTGAGCTTAACAAAACGCTGAGGAGTATAAATAATCCTTTGAAAATTTCTAAAAAATTTACAAAACTCACAGGGAAGGTAGCATATGCATGCGGATCTCTAATCACACCAGTTACGTATGCTAACTACAGCTATACACAAGTACCCATGTACTAATAAAATATTTCATTGTTACTATAAAGAGCATTCGTTTAAGTTTCATAGAGTCCAAGAGACATATGCAACAGATCTTGTCATAACTACCTTGCATGCTTTCCACGGCCTTAATAAGAATATCTTTTTAATTTGTTGTGTGCGATTGTGGTTAATTATCGGAAGCAATATTTCAAAAGCAAAAACTTGCATCTGTTAGCACAAGCCTAATGTAAGTTTCATAAGGTTGGAAAAATCAAATCCCTGTTGATGATGATGTCTTAATGAGTAAAACAAACATCTATGAAAAGAAGATGATACATACAATATAAAATGTTTTTAAAACAAACATCTATGAAAAGAAGATGATATATACAATATAAAATGTTTTTAAAATCTTGAAGCAGGCTAAGACATTCCAAAAGCAGTATAGTGAAAGAGGGGCTTAAGCAGAGTTTAACGAGCTTAGTATAACATTGGCCATTACCAGGCCCACACATGCTTTTCAAGGCGCAGGCACAGCAATAGTATAGATGGACTGATCTCTAGGGTCATGTCTCAACACATTGTTAAAGGACCAACCTACGTTTCTTACGGGTTGCTTTTTATGCTCAAAATTGTGCTTACATTGGGTTGGCTTGAACATGCTAAAATTGGTTCCGTTTTGTGAATTAATCCAGTTTAATGCTTTAAAGAAACTTTGTACTGAAAAACAAATAAATAAAACATATTATGACAAATCTTATGCTGTATTGTCAAGCACAAAGATTAGGGAATAATACTTTTTAACAATTCTTTTCTTCGTTTTTACACTTGTACACTAGACCTCAAGAAATATATTAATTGCGTGAGCTTTGGTTTTGTTCCTGCCTTCATGTGCACGTGAATCATGATAGGCCTTAAAGAGTACATAACTGGATGCACATGGACTTACCTTATGCTCCATTCTTGTTATATCCTAGCTCATATTCAAGCTCAGTTTAGGTCGTTCCATGATCAGTACCATGCTGGGTAAAGTAAGCCCAACCACAGCCTATAAATTATATGAACCTTCAATGTGCTACCTAACAATGTTATAAAATGCTAGAAGCCTTGATTTCATCTCCAACACCTGGCACCAGATGGATCTTCCTTTATATATTTAGTGTGAAATGGAAGTCGAAAAATACAGAAAACTAAAAAATAAATAGAAAAGAAGAAAAACATTTTAAATGATATAATTAATACTCAATAGTAGAACAACAAAGAAAGTAACATGACATGACCAACGAATAACCCAACATCCACAGTAAGTGTGACATATTCACAATAAATATCCTATTACTTATAGCCTATTAAAATATAAGCCTGAGATAACTAAGTCCTTATAATTTGCTAATTAAGTCTTGCATTTCAGTCCTAAATTCTAGTATAAATTGACTAAGATCCCAATATTCTAAATTAAAAATGACATGCAGTTAGGGTACATGATAATAAAAGTACCAAGCAAATAGAAGAATTCTCCAAACTTTGTAGGAACTCCATGGTGGACTATTTTTTCAGCAATAGGTGCCATTCACTTTGACGTATATAATCTAAATAATCTAAGAAACATATACTGAGATATTTCCAACTTTTTGTCCATGCATCAATCACTATCTTTTTGCGGTTGAAATTGTGTGCTTTTCTCAATTAACTTTGAAGATAAATTCTCAGACCTTCATCCTCCCTTCATAAACTAATAGGATGCATTAAACAATGTTACCAATGTGGATCCTCCATAAGATGGTCTGTCATAAAACTATTACGAGAGTTCTCATCAAGGATTCTTATTTGAAAATTTACACATGTTAATGGGGCGGACACTCATTTAGCAAATAAGAAACTCAGAGATGAGAAGAGGCTCATCCTACTAGTCAAATATAACGGAAAAAAGTAGGTTGTTCTTGTCTTTTACTATCTCTTGATAGCTCCTTCCAGTAAATAAATTGTCACCTCATAAACATTATTCTATATCCCAGATGTGTATGAATGTACAGTTTTCTATGTTTCTCTAATATGTTAAATTAATAATTGCACTCATAAAACCTCCATTGTCCATCGATGAAATGGTTAAACCATCACTAAATGAAATGTACATGGTGACTTGAACCAGAAATCTCAGCAAAACAGATTCAGAGACAAACAGTTTTCGTGAATATCATCAATAAGTATTCCACTTGAAATTATTTGCATGCAGATAAGGTTAATTATACAGTAATTACATTTTCATCAAGTGTGCTGAAGTATGATAACAATAGTGGGCTTTGATTCTCATTTTCTGTGACATAGAGAAGGACAAGGTAAAGTAATCAGGGAGAGAGTAACAATAATGAGTTGAAAAGATTAGCACCTGATTTAAATGTGTATATGCCATCTCATCAGAATCGTCTATAAGTGGAAGACCCGAGGACGCTAGCAGACGTTGTAGAGAGTTTCTTTGTGCAACCAGAGTTGTTGCTTTGTCGATCAAATCCTGAAAATCATGGTAAACTATTAGACTATTAGTCATCTACTAGTAAAAAATTTACATATCATCATTCTGATTTTTTTTTTTGAATAAGCAAATATCTCATCATCTAAAGGAAATAATAAGTTCAAATATTCATTAGCCTTAACCTACACTTCACTGGATTAGTTTCATAGTGCAAAAAATTCCAACTCTGAGAATGAAAATGATTTAAACTTACGGTTTCCTGATTTCTTGAGAAAATTGATGACAGAATTACATGTTGGATTTGATCTAAGAATCGAGATACGTAGCTCATCTACGGAAAAACAAAAGGAGAAAAAAAATAAAAAATCAAAGCACCTGCTTCTCTTTGAGGAGATCTCGGCACAACTCCTTGAGCGACACCAAATCCTCTTGGATCTTCTTAATCCGGGCAACAAGCTTGCAGGGATTCGCCTAACAAAACGAAATCAATCTCATAAATTGACCTCAATTACAAACCCTAAGTTCAAACAACTGGGGATCTAGGGTTTGAGAGAGAGAAGGACTGAGTACATGTTCAGGATAAGTGGCTTGGAACTCCTGATCGAGGCGGCGCTGGACGATCGAGAGATCGCGGTTCGCTTTGATCATCAGATTCATCACTTCGTCCACCGCCGAGTGCTGCTGCTGCTTCTGTCGCCGCCGGCGATCGTCCATTTCCTTTTGCTTTTTGCTAAAATTTTCAACTTTTTTGCCGCTCTTTTTTTCTGTTACAAATAGAAAGGATGTGGAGAATTTTGTGCCGAATCTGAAGATGTGCGGTCCCTATCCGAACTGTTAGAGCATCTGCTTCTTCATTTTACTGGTATTCTCACTTTTAAAAAATTTTAAGCTTTTTTTGGTCCAACAGATTCCCCATCTCATTCCCCAAAATAGGGATGGAGGAGAAAAAAAGAGGAGTTTTCCCCAAATCTGGGGCATTCTTCAAATATTTAGGGAGAACTTTGTCATAAATACAGCACGTTTTTCAAAATGGGTTGGAGGAGAAAATAAATATAAAACAAAATCCGTAATTACAAAAAAAGCCATAGGGGAAGTTCCAATGCATAAAGAGCATCCCAAAATAGGGATGTAGAATATTTTTATTATTGTAATAAATGCAGGATTCTTCAAAATGGGGAAGCTGTTGGAGTTGAAGCAAAAATAATTTGGAGAATATGACTTTTGTTTCCCCATTTTGAAGAAATTTTTGGGAAACTGTTGGAGATGCTCTTATAAGTCGTTTCGGTATGGTTCGGTTCGTTTAGTTCGGATCAAAATAAAAAACGGAACAAATATATATAAAACCATCAAACCTTTACCTGACTCTTTGGTCTTTCGATATTGGCATGTTCATCCCATCGAACCTGAAAAATGTACAAACATTTAATATTAGGGCCTGGATGATGAATTGAAAGTATGCAGTGTGAGAAGAAGTAAAGAGATTATTTACTTTCAAAGATCCCCACTTATAAATTAGAATCAACCAATTGAGATGCAGTATCCCTTCAAATAATTGTACTTGCAAACCTGAGAGATTGATAAGAATCGAAATTTGAATGCATGATCATAATATAGGCACAAACAAGTTATGACAAATATGATTGATTTAGAAAAATAATTATTCAGAGTTATGAATATACCTTATTTCTATTTTTAAATATTCTATTTAATATCGCAAGTCGTGATCGGAATGGTTGGTTTTAATTTCATTGATAATTTCAGTAACTAGGCTCTTGGTATGTTTCCTATTATTTTATTTTATTTTTAGAAAAAGGATGAGATACCATAAAGATACCCCAGCCAGCTAAATAACAAAAGAGGTTGTTACATAATGAGTACACATCCCCAACCTAGGATATGTACCTTAGTTCAAGACCAACTACATACCAAGGATATACAAGTCCCATACTCTAACCACAAGTTAGAGAACAACCCAAAACTAACAAGATTGGCGCAAAAAGAAAATATAAAAGCTGCTATTGTTTTTGAGCTTAAGAAACAGCTATCACAAAATATTTCACAAACAGCAATCATTCCAACTGAATGACTACCCCTGAGCTTCTGTTATCATTTCCAGCAGCAATCTTGAGCCCTGCATCTAGCCTCAGACCAGCCATTTTCTTCTTCCTCCTTTCCTGCAGTCTTGTGGTTCTGGCAGATACCTTTTTCGAACCTAGCCAAAAGGTTGAAAAAATCATGACTTTGTGAAGTATCATAATATAACTCCTTCTCTTGTTAGAAAACAATCTATCATTACGTTCTTGCCAAATGCACCAAATGAGACACCATTATGTTTCCTATTAATTAAATATTAAAATTTATTTCAGAAATTTATGTATAAAGATTCATAAATTCGTGGTTATGTTATAACTTTCATGATCCGAAACATTATTTGTGGTCATTAAAATTCAAAATTTATCAATTATTAGTTATTCTCGGAAGCATTTTTAATTTTTAGTTCTTAAGATTATAATTTTATTTTATGGTGAATTTTAGAAATCTCTTAAAATGTAGTTTTATTCGAATTTCACAATTACAATAATTTCTATCCATGGTAATTCTGATATAATATTTCCACCAAATATTTATTTTGATTTGTGACTATAGCTTATTTTTAATTTTGAATATTCTGTTTAATATTGCAAGCTATGATCGAAAAATATTCGGATTGAATTTCAAGGATAATTTTAATAACTGGGTTTAGATATTCTTGAATTTCCTTTTAGTTTAATATTAGAATTTACTTTTTCAAAGTATAATAGATTCAAAAATTCAATTATTAATTTATAACTTTCACGATTCGAAATATTATTTGTGGTTTTGAAAATTCAAAATTTAGTAATTTTTAGTTATTCTGCAAAGTAACTTTTATTTTTAGTTTTTCAAAATATAATTCTTTGGATTATAAATCTAAGACTAATTAATATTTTCAAAAATATTTATTCTGATTTATGACTATAGCTTATTTCTATTATTAATATTGTGTTTAATATTGCAAGCCTTGATTGAAAACGGTTGGATTGAATATCAAAGATAACTTCAATAACTTAGCTCGGATATTGGTAAATTTTGTTATTTTTTAATATTAGAATTTATTATTTTAAATTTTGGTTTAATATATTTGAAAATTTCGTGTATTGAAATAGTAATAATTAATTATTAATTTTTGAATTTTTGCACAACAACAAACAACAAATAATTATTATAACTTTCATATATCAAAGCGTTATATTTGGCTACACATATTCAAAAGCTGATACTAAGCACTATTTATAAGGAATATATCATGATTTACTTGAATTCCTTGAATTCCTTGAATTCCAAAAATAATTATTTGGAATTATTATTGTAGGTTACTTAAATTATCGGATGTCCATGTAATGGTTCGACAATGTGTGCATGTAAATTTAGCAATTCGTAAATATGATTCATGGTTATAATTCCTCTAGTTATGTTAAATATAGATCTTAAACTTTTGCTTTCATGATTAACCTAGGTCTCTACTAGATAATGGAAGATAGAGAAGCCAGTATGCTTTTAGCCAAGGGCCGATGTATGCATCGTCTTGAAATTATTTATACATTAACTCTTTTAATATATAATATTTTTACGTTAAATTTATTACTTATTATGATGTTTTATATTTTGCAGAGATGAATAAAGAACTAGTTCTTTCAACTTTGAAGAAGAGGATTAAGACGGAGAAAAAATGATTGAAATTATAGGAACTTTTCTTAATATTTTTCTTATTATATCCTATGATTGATTAATTGATTGAGAATTATTTTTTTATTTTGGGATGCATCAATTGCGAATAATATTTTTGAATATTAAATTATCTTATATCTTAATTATTTTCAAGTTGCATTTAGATACATTTTGATTTTCTTCGGTTTATTCATTTCATATGAAACTTAGTTTAAATGATCTTAATTTTAATTATAGCATTATATAATTTGTTCATTATCATGTTTTCTAGGTAGTCACATATTCTACCTAATCGAGGGGGTGGGGGGGGGGCGCTTCCCGTTGCCTTCGAAGGAGGAGCTGACTTCGGTTAAAATTTTAAATTCTATTGGAATGCAAGTGACTGGAACACATTGAAATGTATGTGAATTGTGATAAGACCATGCTTAACACGCGCTAAAAGACTAGTTAAACCTATATCAAAATCCTAATTATAGTAGATTTAAAATAGAAATTTGGTAGGCTTAACAAATAGTTTAACAAAAAATAAAGGTTAAAATATCCTTAAAATAGCATGTGAGTGTCGCATGACCGAAGGTACTAAAGTTCAACTTTTAGAAACTTTATGGTATTTAAGTGAAGCCATCTATAACTGAGAGTATTTATATGCAACTTTGGGTTAAAAAAAGGGTATTTAAGTGTAATTTACCCCTAACAAATCGAGTCAATTAGGATCCATGATGGGTAGAATTAGTTTATATCAAAAGATGATGTAATAACGAGAATAATGGTTATCACTGACATATGAGGCGATTCTCTTAAAGTAAAGTCAAACAAATGTTGTTGTTAAGTAGTAAAAGAACCCCTATTACCCTAGCTAGGCTAGACAGGTTCATGGTTTCATCAGACTTCGAATCACAATTCCCATCCTTGGTCCAATACTGTCAACCATCATCTTGTTCAGACCATGAATTTCTGATCTTGGATACCACTAGCCCCCAACCTAAGCCTCCTTTCACGATGGAAAAATCTTGGCTGGCCCACCCATTCTTTTCTTCCTTTATCTCCTCCTCTTGGCTCAACCTTACATGTAAGGGTGACCCTATTCAACAACTTCACAACAAGCTCAAAATTCTCAAACGCAGGCTCAAAAGGTGGAAAAAGCATAACTATGGATCTATCAACAGAAACAAATCTATAACTCTTCTCGCCATCCAGAACCTAAAATCCATTAAAGAATCCAGACCCCTGGTTCCCTCAGAAATCTCCCTGAGGACCTCCCTCATTGAATCCCTTTCCTCCCTAAGAATCCAGACCCCTGGTTCCCTCAGAAATCTCCCTGAGGACCTCCCTCATTGAATCCCTTTCCTCCCTGGCTAATCAAGAAGAAATCTATTGGGAATCCCTTTCCTCCCTGGCTAATCAAGAAGAAATCTATTGGAAGCAAAGATCTAGGCTTCAATGGCTTCGTGCAGGAGACTCCAACACTTCTTTCTTCCACAAAATAACATCCCACCACAGAAGAAAGAATTTCATTCCCCTCCTTTCTATCGACAACTCTGTTCTCTTCTCAGAGCATGATAAACAATTTACTTTCTTCCATCACTTTTTCAATCATTTCAAATCTCTATCCTCTTCCTCATTTCAGTTAGACTGGGACCACCTATACCCTCATCCTTGCTCTGACATCTCCTCTCTGGACAACCCCTTCTCAGTTCAAGAGATCAAGACAGCAATTTTTGGACTTCATCCAGACAAAGCTCCAGGGCCAGATGGCTTCCCCATCTTTTTTTACCAGACCTTTGGGATGTCCTCCAGCCAAACATCTTATCCTTTTTCTCTCATATCTTCATTGACCTCTCCAACCTCAACCTTATCAACCTCTCTTATATATCCCTCGTCCCCAAAACACTCTCCCTGATCACCCCTCAGCTTTCAGACCCATCAGTCTCCTCAATGGCTTGTTCAAAATTTTCATTAAGGTCATAGCCAACAGGTTAAGCCCTTTCATGTCTTCCCTGGTTCACCCCACCCAATCGGCCTTCCAGAGGGATAAATCCACTATTGATTCCATTGTTCTGGGTCATGAGATGAT